CCTGCGACGACGCGGTCCCGTTGATCTCGTTCGACTTGACGATCTCGTGCTTGGCCTCGCTGGTCTTCGTGCCGGGCTTCGTGCGCTTGATCTTCATCTTGAGGCCCTTGTCGACGGTGGCCGAGTGTTCAACGGCCATCTTGCCGGGATTGCCGGCGTTACCGTGGACGGCGTTCACGCCGCTCACGACGCCCGTGGGCTGCTGCTTGTTACCGGCCACGGTTGACGTGCCGTTCGCGTTGCCGCCGGCGCCGTTGCCGCCGGCGCTGTTGGCGCCGCCGGGGCTGCTGGAGCGCGCCGAGTTGACGCCGCAGGAGGAGGAGGTGGACGACGACGACGACGAGGAGGAGGACGACGACGACGACGAAGACGACGACGACGACGACGAGAGGGACGACGAGGATGCGGAGGACGACGACGATTGTCCGATGCTGCTGCCGGTGCTGCCGCTGCCCGCCGAGTTCTGCAACTGATGATGATTCGCGTTATTCGTTGCCGATGCTGCCGAGGCAGGCGTAGAAGCCATGCCTGTCCCCGAGCTCAATTTCTCGTCCCTCGTCTTCTCAATGTCCGCATCAAGGTCGATTATCAGGTCTCCTATGCCGATGTCCCATTCGTTGTCGTCGTACTCGAAGTTGTTGGTCGCATTAGTCGCGGCCGGATCCAGCTCACCGGCGTTAGCAGCCACCGTGCTTGCTTTAGGCTCACGCTGCTGGCCGGACGACGACGACAACGACCTGTCCCGACCCTGATGGTGATGATGATGGTGATGATGATGATGGTGATGGTGATGATGATGGTGGCGATGGTCGCGGTGCTCACGACCGACCAGCGCTCTCTCCTGCCGCCGGGACTGTCCGCTCGCTAAACCGTTGCTGTTGTTACCGTTACTCGCGTTGCTGTTGCTGCCGTTACCACCACCACTACTACTATTATTATTATTATTATTATTATTACTACTACTACTAGCACCACCACCACCGACACACGGAGATGGTCCTTTGCGGTTTACGTTAGGGAGGCGACCGCCTAGTGGCGTGGTCGCCATGCCCTTGGAAACGTTTCCCCGGCGCCCGCCAGCCTGATCACCGACTGCCCGCCTTTTCTCACGGATCCCAGGTAGTGGCAGCGCGCGCGACACGCGTTATCGTTACCCCGACGACGACCACCGCCCGCGAGACGCGCCTCGTCCATCGAACACATCACTCCACTCTCTCGCGGCTACTCTCGGCTCGACGATATTCGCGATTTATCCGGACGTATCTCGCTCTCTCTCTCTCTCTCTTTCCTTCCTTTCCGCTCGGCCCCACTGTTATCGCGCGCACTCGCCACCGGCTTCCTCCACGCGCGGAACCTGATATATCCCAACACCTTTTCGGCCTTCACCACCCGCGATCCTGTCGTTAATTCTCGACTCGACGATTCACCGATCGATTCGGGACGAGCAACAACCACCTCTCTTTCTCTCTCTCTCTCTCTCTCTCCCCCTCTCAATCACCACTCTGCACTCCCGACAATAACACTGATCCGCCGATAAACACGACACCACGATCACAGAGCCCACTGCCTATCGACGATCACGACACACCACCCGAGCACACTTTTGCTTGACCCACCTTGATTACTCCGACGACGTCGTGGAAGATCCCGCGACCATCCGTGCGCGTTGTCGTATCTCGAAATCCCGGTGACGAAGCCGCTCTCCCTCCCACCCTCCTTCTCTCTCTCTCTCACACTCTTGCTCTCCTCTCTCTTCCTCTCTCCGCTTGTCCCCCGCGTGTCAATCCGCGAGGTAACCCGTGCACCGAGCGGTTCTCTTCTCGATCGACATCAGCCTAGCGCGTGCGGTCCTTTCTTCCGATCTTCCGACTCGGAACCGCGCCTCGGCCGATCGACGTGCCTCTGATCTGTAACATACCAGCGTTTCCCCTTCACATCGACGCATCTTGACTATATGAGTATTCGAGTATTCATCGCGAAATCGTGCGTGGACGTGATATCGGTGCGCGATTTGCGAGTAACTGGGGAAAAATTGGCATCGTCAACCCTGACAGTAACACAGTTGGGACCTACACGCGCGTTTTCTTCCGTTTTACCCTCCCCCCACGTCCACGCGCAAAACGCCACGCCCCGCTTCTATTATTTTCTATTACTCGGAAAAACGAGCGAGTCCACATGTGACTATCGCACGGAGAAAAAAACATTCGCTGACGCGGCAAATTTTATTCTGTCGCGACAGTTACCACGCGGACAGCAAAACAATTTGTTAAGAGTACTAATTGCCATTCGCCGGGTATATTTTGCTGCGCCTACAAATTATTTTGCTGTAAAAACAAATTAATAAATATAGGATAACATTATTTTAACGGTAAATTAACGTGTCCTGAGAGCAAATTCACTCAGAAAAATCCTTCTATCCCGGCAACGAAACCGTTTCTGCTCCAATTACGAATAATTCGATAATTTACGTTACGTCGGATAATTTTATCGCTACTGCAACGAATATATGGTAGCAACGATGGTTTTCGTTACAACTGCAAAATTATTTTTTTCCGTGCATCAGCCTTTGGCCCAGTGAGATAATTGGTTTCCCGGTGGCGACGAGTTTACAAAGACAATAAAATTAAAATTAGTTATAAATTTAATAATTTATAACAGATCACAAAATACAGAAAATTACGATTTTTGTGTTGCTCTCAGAGTTAAGCGAGAAAAGTGGCATCGTTAATTCGAAAAACATTGTGTGATATCGATTGTGCGTGTGTGCGTGCGCGCGCGCGCGCGTGTGTGTGTGTGCCTTATATACGGCTGTATTCTGTGAGTCGATGGAAACTTTTCAAAGACGGTTACCGCAAAACGCCGGAATATAAACACGATTGCAGCGGTGAAGCGCGAGCGAACGTTTCCCGTCGCCTCCTTTGTAAAACAGCGCCAAGAGAGATGCGCCTTGTCGGCACATTCTCAGCTCGATAGACACACACACTCTCGCTTACTGTGCTGCAAGGCGCATTCCAACGGCACAATTATTATTTTATAAAGAAGACGGGGACGAGTTACGCTGTTACTTCGACGTAATGCCGTCTTACAGCGGACGGTTGCTTCGCTTGGGCGCAACAATCCGCCTGCGTTTCCGTCTCGAGAATTTTTCACTTCGCCGAATCCTCTCCGCGCAGGTCTTTTCGCACAGTGAGAAAATAAGTAACGGTAGTTATTTATTATTGTTATTATTTCCACGGATTTATTCGCCAAGTTATTCTACGCGTAAAAACGTTAAAGATCAACAGAAAGCAGGTACTTTACGAGATATTATTTTAGAATATTTTTTCCACACAGTTTTGCATATCAGAACTTGTCAAAATAAAGCATGAGACAGGTATATCGAATTTACTTCTGTTGACTTTAGTACTTTTTTTAAATCGACGCAAATTGACGAGGAAAATATATTTATGTAGAGAAAAATACACATGAAACTTCATAAAAAGAAACTTCTAAAATTCCGAGTGACAAAAATACTCGGATAATATTAACATCACTGGTGGAATCGTCGCATTTCCCGTACTGAAAAATGGGTTTGGTCGCATCTACGAGAATATAAGCGTTTTGATTGAATTGGAATCAAATTCTCACTGATCAAATTCAGTTCTTGTAACCACGAATTTGGTTTCTTCCAATGGCGTGAAGAAAAAGGTATCTCTCGCGATGAAATAAATGAACAATCATACATTTGGTTGTCCAGTGTCAGATAGATACAACCAAACTCACTTTTCTATGCATGAACTTTACGAGAGGAAGAGGAGAAGAACGTTTGCAAGTACGAGATTCACACAGAAGCATGCCGCGATAGATTGACCAGAGAGAGAGAGAGAGAGAGAGAGAGAGAGAGAGAGAGAGAGAACAAGAGGGAAGGGAAAAGATACGCGATCGGAGCAGGCGACAAAACGGTCGACACGCCGACGGCTCCAATTAATTTGGCATCGCTAATTTGGCGTCGCGGGCTGCCGCCTCCGAAAGAGACGCGCGCGAGGCGGCGGTGCTTTGTACTCGAATTGCTTTCATAAACAATGCTCAATAGGATAAGTCTTCGGGGGCACTTGGCCGGCGGCCAATAATCGGCGGACGCGCGGCGCTCGCTGGCATTCTCTCTCTCTCGGGAGAAGCCAAGAACGAGCCGAGGAGTGCGCGCACGGCGTGAAGCGGGTTGTTAGCTTCGATATAACGACATGTTTAGAGACCGCCGTCTTTCTCTCTCTCTCTCTTGCTCTTGCCACCTTCCGGCTTTCACCCCGGCGTGCAACGCGCCGCAACCACCGTCTCCCCCCGAGGCGTTCTCTCTTTGTTTCGCACCTACAAATTGGTATTCCCGCTTAGAGAGGAATTCGTGTCAGGGAACGATTAATTTTACCGGCGGCATTTTGGCATTCGTCCAACCATCCGACCGATCGACCGACCGACCGTTCCCCCGACCGCGCGGGAAAGAGAAACGAGGAGATTTAGAGACGAGAGAGAGAAAGAGAAACGGATCTCCCATAGAGAGTGGAATAGAATTTATTTCGTGTTCGTTAGAACCGATACCTCCCTTTCTCTCTTTCTCTCTCTAGGGATGCTGTACGCGATACACGACTGCAACTCTATACGTGGTGATGGCGATGGTAGTGGTAGATGGTCGACGCGCGGGGAAATAAAAGCGGACGACGGACGGCAAAATATTTTGCCAAAATATAATCCGAGATAAAAATGATTTACGGCCGATGAAAAAGTTCGACGGAGGCGTGCGTAAGCTGTTTTTCATGCGCGTCACGATGGCTTCGACGGCCGAATCGTATATTCGGCCGCGCGAAAACTCGGATGATTAAAAAGCAACAGTTACCTCGCCGCGGAAGACGAATGGATCGCGCCAGCGGTCTCTTCCAGCAAAGAGCGTTTACATAAATTATTCGGAATAAACCGCTTGTCATACTTTCCTCGACGTGATACAACGTACCCGGCGACGCGTGCATCCAGAATAATTGATCTCGCGCGATCAGTTAGCCTCGCGATCGCGCGTTTCCGAGAAGTGGGGCTCCCCGCCGAATCTCGTCGGCCATCGCGAACCGCGAAGTTACACACGAGACTATCTCGCAAACAGCCTTGCAAAGTCGTAGGCATAGCGAGTAGAAGTATTCAGATTGAAAATGCTTCTAACAGAAACGAGTAAAGGCACCGAGCTAATTTACACACCTAATCGATAGATTAATGTGTTTATCGTCCGTTCTACGGTTTCAGAACGGTTTGCAAGAAGGAATTAAACATTAGTCACATCATTGATTATATCATTCGACAAGTATCTACAGGCAGGTACGCGCGCTCTGACAAATAGGCGAAGAAGCCGCGATCGAAAGAGAGAGACAAATCGCGACGGAGAGACCCAGTTGCCTCCTCGTTTCATCTGGTTCTCCTTTCGCGGTTATATATATATATCGGATAATCGTTCAGTATCGATCAATCGTCGTCGTCGGATCCACCGCTCCAGCGTGTCCATATTAATTCATGCGAACGTCGCGACGATCGATCGATCCGAAAAAACGAACAAAGACGTTCCGCCGCCCTTTACCGCCACGCGCTCACGATGACAGCTCGGCCGTAGTTACCTTCGTTCCGATTGTCTCCCCTTTTAAAAGTCGAACAGACGGATAACGCGCATCTGTCTATCGACCGGCGTGCGAACAACTAAATGCCCGTTGAGCGATTATAGTCGCATCGTGTGAACAAACCCCGAAGTGGCCTCCCGCGGGTGCGTTTAATCGCGAAATGAAATACTGAAGAGATTTATTCACGAGATATTCCGCCCGGAGGGAATTATTTCATACGGAAATATTGTAATGCGGAATTTTTCATTTCGGTGACTATGTTTATCACGTGCGCCTTTATTCCGCGTATCCGATCGTTTATATTAATTATTTCGACGCGTGTGTAATTGAACGTATCCGTTTAGAGGAAAATCAAGGATCGTCTTCTCCGAGAGGGACGACAGAAATTGAGAGAATCGAAGAGAGAGAGAGAGACAGAGTGAAGAACGTCGACGTTTCCGACGTGATTGAAAAAATGTTAGTAATTAAATGCTTGCAATTATATATTTCCTGTAATATCTCTCTGCAATGTCCCTCAGATCACATCACTCTGTGCAATATCTTCCGGAGATAATAATTCCCGACTTCCGTACCTCGTCATTTTCGCGTTCGTCCGCAATTTTTGCAAATTTCGTCTCGCTCGTCTACATGTTGCATTTGAATTTCATTCCCCAAATGCGCGCGCGAGAATTCGCACGAATTTGTCGCAATCTGCATTTGCAGTTGTCCGAACAGTACAGACAGCCGAATTTACGGCGACACGGCGTTTTTGCGATGGCGCGAAAATCGCACGTCGCGTCGCGCCTCGCCGGGAGAGAGCTCGGATTTTATGCGCTTTGCAGTTTCAGATTGACCCGGCTCGTGCAATCGCAACGAAAAGCAGATGATATATATATATCCACGGATTAATCGAGGAGAAGCGGAACTCGCGAAATCGCGCACGATCGCACGGGAGAACTCTCGGCGGACGTGGCGGCAAAGGAGGGGGGTGTGAGACAACCCCGCAGTCGCCTTAAGTTACACACAGCGCGCCGGCATTAAGTTACAAGATTAATCGCGCGACTTCGAGTAGTCTCGCGACGAAAATAATATCCGGTGCCGTTTATCGGTGAGGTGGGATAAAGAGGAGTACGCGAGGAGCCGTTAAGCGCGCGGTGGATATCGCCGCGATGAGGACGACCCTTTCTGCCGGGCCGGGGTCCGGTAACAATTCCACGAATGGAGATTGACGGCATTCCTGGGAGAACAATTGGTAAGCCCGAACTATTCCGTACTGTGGGCGCAGCATTCTGGCGAACCTC